GGCACCCGTACCTGTGCGGCCCCCACAGGTTCTGGCCCAGATTCCGATATGCAACTGGGAATTAAAAAAAATAATAATAATTAAAACCAATGGTTAATAAAAATATAATTGAATAGAAATGCATAAAAATAAGGAATTAAAAATAACTTCATAGAAATGCATTTTTATATTCACTTGCTTTACAAGAGTCAGAGCAACCCAAGCTCTGGCCCAGATTATGCTCTGCAACTGTATAAAAAAAACCCCTCAAAAATATTAATTAATAAAAATAACAATTAAAAATAAACGCATAAAAAATAAGGATAAAAAGGGAATAAAAAGGCATAAAAAATAAGCAGCGTGTTTATTTTGCTTTGCAGGAGAGTCAGCGCGCCCCAAGCTCTGGCTCACATTGTGCTTTGCTACTATACAAAAAACCCTCTGAAAATATTAATTAATAAAAATAATAATTAAACATAAATGCATTCGAAGTAAGCAGAAAAAATTAAGGGAAAATAAAGGCACACAAAGTAAGCAGCGCGTTTATTTTGCCTCGCAGGAGAGACAGCGCAATGCCAAGTTCTGGCCCAGATTACGATACACAAGTGTCACTTCTCCTAAAATTAATTAATTTTTAAAACTTAATTAAATATAAATGCATAAAAATAAGGAGAAAAAAAATAATATAAAAGCATAAGAAATAAGCATCGTGTTTATTTTGCTCTACAGGAGAGCCAGTGCGCCCCAAGTTCTGGCCTACATTATACTGTGCTACTGTAAATAAAAAACCCTTCCAAAATATTAATTAACAAAAGTAACAATTAAATATAAATGTATTCAAAATAAGCAGAGAATTTAATGAAACAGAAGTGCATCAAAAGGAAGCAGCACATCTATTTTGCTTTGCAGAGGAGCCAACACACCCCAAGTTCTGCCCCAGATTACGATACACAACTATAACCCCCCACTATTAATTAAAAATTAAATATTTATGCATAGAAATAAGCAAAAAAAAGGTAATTAGAGTTAATTAACTGGAAAGGCGGGTGTATCCCCCCAGGCCCCCTTACCTTGCTGCTTAGGCACTTCTTTGCGGCCGATCAAGTCCCAATTGGTGGCCCCGAAGAT